CAGCAGGAAAACTAGCAGGGCTGCAGTTTAATTTGGTAGTGAGTGCATGTGAAGGTAACAGTGCTGCTGAGAGTGATGAGTGAAAAGGATGTGTTTACTGCATGTTCCTGTTTAAAAAGAAGAAGAAGAACATGAGTATTGATCTCAGAACAAGCACTACAATGCTTCACATCTCACTCGCCTTGTCTTTCCCTCTCAGGTCCACTGGTGCTAGAATTTCAGTTCGCCTCTGAGAGAACAGGACACCTCACTCTGTTTATTGGTCGATTTTTCATTCCAGAAATAACTGGTATGAGGGTGCCCCCAGTGTATTTTCTGTACAGACGCCACTTAACACGACATCAAAGAATGCAACCGAATCACACACAACCCTCCGCCCCACCTTGCACACACGACTACCACCTGCTCCTGTAACTCGGTCGCTGTCTCACCGAAAGGTCTTAAGCCATAGAAATCATGTGCTACTTTATTTAAGCCCCCCCCCCACCAAAAAAAGAGAAAACTAAAATTGTTTTTTAACCTCATGTTAGGCATGGACACATCCCTGAACTTTGTGGGGCATTCGCCTCTATTTACAATAGCTGTATTATGACAGTGATTCACAAAAGCAATAGTGTAATAGTAAAACTACATTTGTGACATTCATTAAAGACAAATTTGAAGCACAAATATTCTTCTATTTCTACACCCTGATAAGCACATCAGACATTTTTTTTTCTTCCTGGACATTTTTTAAAAAGTAATTAAAATTTATCATCAACAATCGATCCAAGCAATACATAAACTATACTCAGTGTTTCTGTATGATTGTATCAAATGAATGGTGTGTAATATGAACTGCCTTAATGGGTAAGTGTTTTTTATTGCCTTTCTACTGTACTTGCAGACTAGACCAGAACAGAAGAAAACCACAAGGACTTCACAATAAATAAGAAAATACATTTTGCCTGGCAAAATACCTTAACCAATTCTCCACTCCGTTCAAATATTTTACTGTACACCCATGTAGGCTCTTGTATTGAATTATGTGATTTATTAAAATAAACAAATACTTTAACTGATCATTGAATCACCCTTTTCCAAACATTACTAGATGAGTGCTTCTTTAATTTATATATTTTTAAATTTTATTTTTATTTTTTGACTGTCAACATGGGTCGTCCATAATCTGACCCCTAATTTCCACTGGATGTGGCTACAGTGCATTCTGTCTGTGACGCGATCGCCAGGCTGATCCCTGTTAGTCTAGTCGTTGGCTGTGTTCCCACCAGGTCCAGCTGCATTCCGTCTCTGATCCGTCCCACATGTGGCACTTTGGTGCGCTTCGCTAAAGATACACATCAAGTCTATTTTTGACAGATGCCACATCTGGGACGCATCTGACAAGGTAGGCTACAAATAGATATAGATGGGCTTCAAAATGATTAGGATGAATGTACTTTTAACAACTGAAACACAGCCACAAATCTTTGACTTGTGTTTCATAACGACATAACTGTTAAATTAAATTCAATGTTTGTCTGTAGGCTACAGACAAAAAATAAGAAATAAAAACTAAACACAAATAATAGATAACAAAAGAAGCCATTTAACTACGAAGCCTACTTACTGTCAAAGCTCAGAAATGAAGAACAATGTCCTACATGAAAAATCAGAACCACAGCGAGCCGTGCTGCAGACAGATCCGTTTGGGGGATGAAGGTGCAGAGGATATATCAAAATTGGGTTGCACATTTAACGCAATGCAGCTACATTCAGTGAAAATTAGGGGTGGCACAATGTATCCTTTTAACCTGAGAGAAAGGTTAAGTCATTCAATGCCCACCCCATACCCCACTTGCCAGTGGCAACAGTCTCCTAGCAACAACATCCTGCTTGCTTTCCTTTACAATGGCCCGTATGTATGGTGTTTCTCCCGGATCTTCTTGGAAACCTCGTCCAGTTTAACATGACAGTTAATCATGTTGTGTGTCGGGGGTTACATGATGTTCCTGAACACAAAAAAATGTTAAAAGTCTGTAAACGTTTTAAGGGATCCTGCTGTGCTTCTTTGTCATTTGAGCTAAAGAGTGTGCTGATTGTGGAGTTTGTATTGAATGCGTGTATATGTTTGAAAGCATGTATGTGTGCTTGTCACAAATAAATGTGAAATATCCTCATACTGTTAATGGTATACAGGCAAATGGGTAAGAGACCCTTTCACCCCAGGGTGCCTCGACCATCAGCACCCACTGGAAAGTCAAGAATCAGACGAGTTGGCATTTTCCAAACTCAAAAAACAAAGGCTTCAATGCCGAAGTCCCTTCCTCACTCTTTTACAGAGAGATACTGTCAGTGTTTTGTTTTGTTTTAAAAAGTGCTCCTTGAGGGGGAGAGGGTTGCCAGGTAGAGTGGCCTGTGGTCCACTCAGGACAGTCCATTCCTGGAAATTCCTCACACTGGGTGCTATAAAGACAAGATGGCAGCCAGAACTATGAGAACAGAGCTAAGCAGGATGACTGAAGTCTGGCGCTGACCAGCAGAGTTTACATCCCTCCGAGCTGGCTCTGGTGACTCGTGGCCGATACCATCTGAAGCATAATAGATGAAAAATGTCATCATTAACAGGAAAAACATCTGAAATATAGGAAATGGTTGTGTTTTCTCTGTGTTAAAACAATGAGCAAATCAGACAGTATAAGTAGTGTCTCTGTTGCACACAGCAAGCGAACACAGGTGAACACGAACATATACCTACCAGGTAATACCGTACCTGCAACTGCCCCAAAGCCCCAAACTTTCACAATAATAATGTTTTAGTTGGTTTGGGGTAAATTGAATAACTGCAAATTTGCTTTGACATAAAAATGAAATTAATTATGTATAAAGCAACACAGTATTAACTTAACATGGTACTTTCACATATTCAAGAAAAATTAACTGTCTGTCACAAACACATATATGTTATACAATCTCACACACCTCTGGGTTCTAGGGAGTTGGGGCTGTTGTCGTCAAAATCGACCCCTTCCTGCACACTCCCGGTGTTTTTCACACAATTGTCTTTGAAAAACAAAGAGGGGAGAGGAGATATGAAGATTAGAAAAGTCAAGCGTCATTTATCCACAGTCTGATCACAAGCTGGTTCACCAGAGCATGGAAAACTGGGCAGCGTAAACACAACAACCTGTGACTCACTTTGAGGCCTGACGAAGACCTTGAGTCGAAGGCAGCTCCTTCTTCCCTTGTCATCAGTGATGGAGGCTGTGGAGACATAAGAACACACTTAAACATGTAACCTGCACCTTTCCATTTCAAAATACCTTCCTTGATGTAATCTAGTGCTGCTATGATTTTGGACTGAAATAGCATTCACCATTGTTTTGCTCAGTAATGAGATCAGTGATTCATCCGTGTTTTGGAGATGAAACAGCTTTACTGCTCTTGAATATTTTAATTTCACCCAAGCAACATACAGAAATTAGGATCATTTTCAGTAACAAAACAAGTTCTGGAACTCAGAAAGGTACATGAGTGCCTCTCATGTTAAACACCTGCAAATTCAGTTGGCTGAAAACAACACATGCATGACTACCTGGCAAACAAAAGCTATTTATCCGAACACTAAGACTTGAGCTGGTACTGGCATCTGATTGCTCACAATCCAAATACTTTTTAACTTCCAGAGCATATGGGACAACACAGTGTTTTGCCAAGGAATTGAACACCTGTCCCCTGGGGAAAAGTCCTGTTTTCTGAACCATCCATCCACCCCAACCGCCCAACTCAGACTTTGTGGCTTTATACTTCATTATCTTACTTTCTCCTTCACTAGTATCACAATTAATATGTTCGGTACAGCTCACCTAAACAGACAACACTGTTGTTTATAATAACTTTCTGGCACAAACAACATACTGCACAGACCATTTTTTTAATGGGAGAACAGTCTATTATTCACTTTCAAAATTTTGGCTTGAGTATCAAAGCTCACTATTTTCTTGGTTATAAAATACCTGTTGTTTTATTGCGTCACTCCTAATTTAAATAAAAATACATTGTCAAATATAGAATATAGAAAATATGTTTTATTTAGGCAGAACCTTTGTACTGCTCCTTGGGTTTAGTAAACATTTAAAATTTGTGAGGTTCGGCTTGCCTTTTTTGCATCTGTCAAGGCAATTCACAAAAAAAGGAGGGTTTCGGTATCACTACCTAAATGGCACTAGTATCAATAAAATGACACTCAACCCCAAGATGTACAGAATTACTTGTGCCAGTCTAAATACATTTTCACATGATGTTTTTGTGTCTATAAATACTCCAGAATCACCCAGGTCACAAGCAATATTCATTTCAATAATTATAAAGTGCTGTAGTAGTGAGTCCTAAAAGACCTGAGTTAGCATTTTTGCACTTCTGTTTCCCTCACCCTGAAGTCAGTGGGGTTTTTGTTTGGGTCTTTGGTTAGATGCTTGAAATAAGGTCTGTGGTTAACACAAGGCCAATACACTTTCATTTTGCATCTTCATTTTGTTCTATGATATAAAATACAGCACTAAATACCCCACTTGTGATTTTAATGCTTTTGCGTGTCCTAAAAAAGGCAGCTGCTAACAAATGGCTAAATGATGCTACAAAGACTGTCTGCGATTTCACACATCAGAACACTGAACACGGAGACTCAACTACTCACTAGTTTGCCTTTACAGCCTTGTTATTTTTAAACACGTGCACTTCCAAACTATTCTAACTGACTCAGCCATGGTCACTAGCGAGATCAGGTCACGCTAAGAGGAAAGGATTTAGTAGAAAATTAAGTCCTGCAAATTAAATCACAAGTTGGACATAGTGGTGGTGACACTGAAGTCATGGGACCGTGGTAGTTTGTTTATAGCCTAATAACAGCTTTTTACTTCTGGCCATTGTATTTGGGCTTCAAACATCATAAAGTGCTATTCACTTATGAGGATTATCTTGCTGAACAAAATGTGAAAGAGCTTATTTTCTGCAATAATCCAAAAGCCTATGGAAAAATCCCATTGGCTTTATTTTGAGGGAACCAGGGTGATGCTAACTTCTGGGTTGGCCAACAAAGATACATCAGCACATATGTACAGGACTCTAGTTTACTCCCTAATATTAACTGCTAATGCCAGGAGCAGACTACAAGATTTCATCCCCATAATGTCCCCAGCTGACAGATATGGGGTAATAAAAGCCAAATCCTGTAGTCCGATCCAAGTTTTGAAGTACTACTTCTGCAAAACCACTCAACATTCCCGATTCACATTCTCTTCACTACTTCACCTGAGGCCTCTTGACACTCTGAAATCTACCTTCATTCATAAACATCAGCTCAGCAGCAGAAACGTACAATCTGACAAGGTCGACTTGTTTTCTTCATCAGACGTATTCCACACTTATTTCGTTTAAATACAGTCTGAAGAGCTTTATCTCACCGTCTGAACTTCCCTCTCATCCTGATGTAAAAGCGTTTCTGCTCCATATTTTATGATATGAAACAACTCAATGTCACCCTCATATTTCCAAGTCTAATATAGCCATGGGCAGTCATTTCTGCAGATGTGTGGCATGCTGTTATGCTCACCTACAAAATCTCATTTCCTCTGTTTCCTGATTGTGAACGACAAAGATAGATTAAAACCATTTCTGGGGAGGGGTGGGGGTGGCGGGTAGGATGCTGTGATTGTTTTGCAGAGCTAACAAAACTAATTAGTTTTTCAAGCAGTGCTGGGGACTAAGTCACTAAAAGAGCACTGAGGGTTTCTCCAGCTGTGACAAATGACTCCAACTTCTTTCTGCACTTTTGTCAAGAGTGTTTGTCATGTTTTGTCTAGCTTCATCTTCATCTCATAAGAGATTTTTCCCTTTGTTTTATGGACATTTCCTCAGGTACCTCAATACTATGACCTCTGCCTGCCAAGTCACTGAAACATCTCCACACATAAACACGCAACACCTGTAGTGTGTTTGGATATTCATGACAATGTGTTGGGCATGTACAGTATGTGTGCATGGGTGAAGCTGTGGTGTCTTGAGTATGTGCTCCTGTGCACAGACGTGTCTGTAGCTTGTCCACAGACACTCCTCTGTTCTGTCACCCAAACACTACGTGTGATGGATTCTGGCCCTGTGGTGAATTTGTGATAAAAGTATACCATGTCAATGTTTCCATGGACACAGATGACTCAGGCTCTCATTTCAAAAGGCACTTTATCAGATGCCATGTGGCTGTGAGAGGAGATAAAAATCATCTTTAAGACTTCACCATGAGAGGAATATTGGAAGTGAAGGAGCAGAAGGAGGAAAGAAACGAGAGAGCAACGGTGTCAATCACATCGCTTCTGTCTGTGTCAGCGGGTATCAAGTAACTTAGCTCACACCCCGACGGTGGCTGGAACAGACAGGACAACTGCTTGTCTCAGTTTCTGTCTCTGAGAACTTAACTGGCCAAAACTGCCTTTCCATTTCTTTATGCCTCTCGTGCTCCTTCTGTTTCTGTTTTCATTATCTCTCTAACTTTCTTCTACTCCTATAAAACTATACTTTGGCACAAAATCTTTTCTGGGACAGATATGGGTTAGATATATCATGAAATTATATAGGAGAAATTTACCAATGTCCAAAGCTTTGACCTAGAACATTTCATTTATCTTACTAAATTATTTGGACTATGGCTGGGCAGCATGTGGTGCAGTGGTTAGCCCTACAGCATATAAGCACTGGGTTCAAACCTGGTGGCTGATCAAGGCCTCTCTGTGCATAGTTTACATATTCTCCCTCTGCCTGTGTGGGTTTCCTTAATGTATTGCTTTAACTGACCATTGTATAAGCCTGATAATGCACCGTGTGGTATTATTTACTAGATTGATTCAGGTTTTAGTGACTGACAGTAGTACATGTTCTTTAATGTGTATTTCTTTAGCAGATGAATTATTATTTTGATATCTGTTCAATTATACATTTTGTTTATAATTATGTTTGTGTCATTGTTTGTTTTTGAGATCTACACAGTATTAGGCCTAAAGAAGAAGCAAAGCATTAGCTTGTTGGAAAATGAAAAATGTTCTTAGTGAAAAAAAATGCTCTTCCTCCCTTCAGTTTTTCTGCAATTTCTCACTGTCCTCTGTCTTTGTTTGACATTTGTTCACACTGTCTTTCTCTCATCTCACTGTCTCATCCTCTCCCCATTCCACTATCCCTTCACAGATTCCAGCGCACACACACACAATTACCTAACTGTCTCTCCTCCTTTGTCTCATGTCTGTCACTGGGTTTTCTGTCTTTGAGCTACACAGCCATGCTTCACTGTGACTGTAACTCCAGCTCTGCCTGCAAGTCTAGACCCCAGATTTAGTCAGGTCCTGCTGCCACCGTCTCACTATGATGATGGGACAACAGTAAACCTCCCGGTCACACACTTGGACACACTTTACATGTTCTGTCATGTGCTGTGGGACATTTCATTGATGTAATCACACATTTGGCACCAGCAACACTTGCATCAGTTAACAGGCTGGGAAGGCCCGTTAGGCCAGGGTTTAGTATGTCTGTGTCTATGTCTACGCATTAGACAGACTGTGATACACTGTACATACTGTGGGATCAGATGTTTTTCTTGTGATGATCAGTTTATCTTGTGGAACAAAGCCTTTTGTCTGTGCTTCAGCCATGAGAAGCTAAAGGGAAACTGAGGACTGTGCTGGCAAGTTTCATGTCACTATCGATGTACATCTGCACTGGCTATACTGAGCGGGGTCCGAGCATTTGATGTGCAAGGGCTTTACAGAGAGACAGTCATCTCGCTCACATGGGGAGAACCAGACTTAACTGTCTCCGCTGAAAATTGGATTTCTATCCCCTGAGATTAGAATCAGGCTTTCCCCTCTCCACTGCGACTCTATTAGAAAAACATGCCGCCCTCTGAGGCAGCGCAGACCTCATCGTCATCTCTGTGACCTTTGACCTTCTATGACAAAGTGCAATGCTGGTCCCTAACCAGGGCGGTTTGCCTTGGGGTGTGTATCTTTCTCCCAGACGGACAGGCCCTGAGCCAACTGTAGGTGTCATCTTTTTGACGAGACCACGCCCTCCCTTCCCCCCTGCCTAGGGCAAAAGACGATCACCATGACTAAGGACAAAGGAGCATCTGTCTTCACAGCCATTAACCCCACCTCAATATATGATTTACATGGCCACTTAACAGATTCCCAAGCCATATTATATGTACAACAATGGTATTAACTACCCACTATTGTTCAGCTTTGTTAGAGCAGGACACTGCCAACATGCAATATGACACTGATACCAGCAGCTGATAAAACATACAGTAGTTTACTGTAGTGCAACCAGAATTTCTGGATATGGATGTGGCTAAAGTGAAAGAAAACACAAGGATCTGTCTGGAAAATACCTTTTCATGTGGGTTGGCAGTACTTATCTTCTTACATCAGTTTAAGTTTCAAAGCTCCAAAAAAGACTCATTAAGAAAGTGATGAAATAAACATTAAATAAAAATAAATTAAAATAGAAAAATGATGGGAAAAAATGAGTCAGTATGGGAGGCTCACGACAGGGGTGCTTTCATTCTGTTTTGAGAGAAATTTGGAGCGCCTGTGGACTTGGATTAAACTCAAGTAAACATAAGCAGCTGCCTTAGAATATATTTTGTTCTTTAATAAATATTCAAATGGTAAGACTTTGGACATTAAAATGTATTTTAGAACAAAGCATTCAATCACCAAACCTCACATTCTGGTGCTGCACTGCTAACATCAAGCCAAAGCGAAGTATTACATTGTGTAGAAACCCAATAAAACATTCAGCAGCCTGAAGCTGCACTAATCGATATTTCATTTTTAAGAACAGCTCAAATGACTATGTCACTGGTGAAAGGCTCACTTATAACGAGGAACGCACAGAAAACCCTGCAGCTGTCTTTAGCTCTATATGTACAAACAATACCAGTATATTCGCCTCTTTTAGACAATTATTTTGTTTGTTTCAGAATATCTTTTCAAATCTTATCAATCTTGTTTTTAGTTGCAAAAAGCAGCTGTTTTCAGTGTAAAACTCTGTTTCTGGACAGGTATCATACAAACAGCAACTAAAGAGTCAGATATTTCCCTCTGAACTTGGTGAAGACCAAAATCAGAGCTAAAAGGTCTGTGGAAATTGGACTGTAATGTTGTTTATTTTATCCAGGTGACTCCAGTGTTTTTATGTTGAGAGACAAACAGTGGAAAGGTTTAGATCAGAATTTAGTGGTAAAAATACTTTTTTTGAAACAGCTCTTTTCAACTACATAAGTCTACACAATGAGGACAAACACTTGTATTATGTGAGGAGTTTGACTAAAAGACTTTGGTATGTTCCCTGAGGTCTCTTTGGCTTTTGTTATTTCATCCTGTGTCTTCAGATCCCGAAGTGTCTTTGGTGAACAAGGATCTGTCGGGTGAGTCATGAATCTGAGTCAGCGAGAGATGGTCCATATGGCCTGAAGCTGCTCGGAGTCATATGGACTGTCTCTCTGCCTCTGTCTGTCTCATTTGGATGGTTACCATCAACGTCTACATCAGGAACATTGTCTTCACTCTGTTTCACATCAGTGATTGTCTAATTCTGCCTCATTTATTAGGTCAGTTTTTCAATCTATGATTTTTCCTACTGACATCCAAGGAGTTGCAACAACAGCTGGCATAGCTAACATAGGCAATTTCTGTAAACAGTTTATGCAGCAGAGTGGTGCAGACCAGCCAGTAAACACACAGATCCAACAAAAACATTCAGTGAAAGCTAATATATCACAATACAAAATAGTGCAACAAAAAAGGACAAGCTTGATGATCCTGCAATCCCAGATGCTAAGCTTGGTGCGCAGTGAAAGATCAATGAGGCAAAGACTAAAGTGTTGAAAGACAAGGGAGGAGAATAGTTGGTGGTAAGATGATGTCATGGGGTAGGACTGGATAAGTCTGACTTCTTCCTACTCCATTCAAGCATGTACTAGGTATAAGCAAATTGATATTGGATTATGTGTAAAATTATGTGTGTTGTCATATCAACTGTTTTTACATGCTTGAAAGAATAAATCAAATCAAATCAAATCAAATCAATAGTTAACATACACTACCAGGCAAAAGTCTGGACACATCCCATTAAACCTTTCACCGGTAGCATACATGACTCAATATGTGATCATAAAAAAACCTTCTTTGTGATCTTAAACCTGCCTGTCTGAGTCATTACAAACCTGCAGAACAGTATTTTTGCTTCTAGTGAAGGTTTTCAAACACACAAAATGTGTTCAAGATAGGATTTGGTATAAACATGTATAAAATGATGCACAGGAAATATGGAATCACCAGTCATCAAATCTGTCATACTGCATTAAATTTTCTAATTTTAAAACCACTTTAAAGTAGAACTCGTTCTTCAAAGGGTTAAATTAGTGTTCGGACAACAAACAGAAACAGCCTGATTTGCAATTCAACAACAAAAGCAACAGAACATCCACTGAGATTGGTCAGATGAAGCACACCATACCTATATATTCAGAATTCAGATTTTCTGGCAGCTTTCCCAAACACCTGCTCTTGGTCTAGAGGCCATAAAGCTTCATGGAGAAAAACTACCCATTTTCCTTGGATCACATATCTTGATGTTGTTCTTTGTTGTAATGCCAGTACATTACTCTCTTTCCTCTGACCTTTGTACTCTTTATTTTTGGTTCGTGTTAATATCCATGAAGTTCTTCCAGCCACAAGTGTCAGCTAAATACCTAAAAATCTACCATGGAGCTCACTTAATCGCATTTTGTCCCTCTCTTCAGGGCACTGACTTCACTTATAAAAACATGACTTTCCAGCTGCTTGTTTTCCAGATTCTTCTCACACAGAGGAGAAAACTGAGCCTATCAGCAACAACAGACACTTCAAACAAGACGTCGACAGTAGAGATGTTTTGCTTCCTTTGGCTCGTATTCTGGCTTGGTCCTTGGGCTTGCATAACAAAAGACCAAACACTTCTGCTGTCTTTCTGCAATATTTCAAGATGAAATTGATATTGATCTTCTGATGCAACTCCCAGTTAATAGCTTTGTGAATCTTTTTATATTAGTGCATATTTTTTTGCAACAAAAGCCTTTTGTCATTCAACAAAAGAAGCCAAAATTCTCATACTATATAATGCATATTGTCTAAACACAAGGAGTTCAATGCCAACGTTCAGTACTTCAGGTTTCAGTACTCAGGGCTATGGACACATTTCTGTTGTACCAAAACAGTACATACTCACAGATATAATAATACTCTCTGCCAGGGCGAAACTCGAAGCCTAAGGAGAAGGGAGTGAAGAGCTGGAACTTCTCTGAAAACTTCAGCGGTCCATTCAGGGACAGAGGCCTGTTGCACTCCCAGCGTTTGAAGCCCTTGGCAGTGTGATCACACGAGCTGTAGCCATCATAGTTCACCATGTAGAGGATGTAGCGCTCGGCCCGCTCATCAGGAACTGGGCCAATGTAGTGTGGACAATAGACATCAAGATAGTCATTGATGCAGACATCAATGTGGTAATCACCACGGTAAAACCTGGAAGAGGGAGACATAAGAGAGAAATAAAAATATATCCAGAGCAGCTTGTGCAGAAAAATAAAGAATATGTGTAAAAATATGAGAGGTGGTTTTAGTATTTTGAGGCAAGTTCAAGTCAGTTCTCAGGATTTCAGGTCTGTGAATGCTGACTGTTAAAATGGAATATGAATGTTTTGCTTTTAAAGCTGTGCTCAGACATTTTTTTACATAACTGAGACCAAGTTATTTCAGTGCACAGGTATTATAATTAAAACTTCTCAAGAGTTCTGATATTTTTTTTAATTACTGTGGGATTATAACAGATCAAAAATTGCAGCTGGAATGATTTTATTTTGAAGCCTTTAATGAGACTCAAGTAAGTCAAGTCTACAGTACTTACTCTGTAACTTACAGGTACCCTATGATGTTTTTGACCACTAGTAGCACTATCAAGCAATATTTTTATGTGTGGGTCCCTATTTTGTTTTTGCATGGACAAAGGATTTCACACTCTTCCGCTGATTGACATGGTAGTAATGCTCCAATAAATGAACAATAAAACTGCTTATAAGAAAACATGGCAGTTTTAAGTTTGACTGGAGACAAATTATAGGGTCTATTTATATACAAAGATACATGAATGAAGTCATGATTTTTTTTTTTTTTTTGCATTTATACCAAAATAGCACATGAACATAAAGTGTGTTTATAAATGAGGGCAGTTTTTGTGAGTATCAGCAATAACACTAAGATGATTAATCTGTTATTTGTGAGGTAATTTTTCTACAAGCAAAGATAATTCCTACAGCAGCATCATACAACATCATGTGATCACTCATACTGGCCTTTCTAATTATCTACCTAATGAAAATACAGTGAGGGGACATGTTCTGTCTCCAGCCTGCTTTGTGGTTTGCACACATTTAACATTCAGATCCCCTGATGCAACATTTTGCTCAAGGGTACATCAGTAGCAGCTGTTTAAGTGGGAAGAAAGTTACTCATTGATTTGTTTGGGGAGCCTCTCACCATCATGCTCCTCAAAGAGGCGTTCTCCAGAGTTATGAGTACTCCAAAACTAAATGACAACAGATGATACTTTGTGCATCTTAGCGAGGCCACAACTGAAAAAACAGTTACCATATGTGCTCGCAAATTGAGGCTGGACTGCGAAAGACACATCCAGGCTACAACCATCTCTAGTTTTGTTCGCAGGATCTGATCCCATCGTGCCAGTCTGAATCATTCCAAGCTTGTGCTGAATGTCCCTGCAATTCACCCACCCCAACAGAAACCTTTAATGACACACGGTAGTCTGTCCTAAGCCATATATCAATGTTGGTGCTCTACACTGATGACTTATGACAGTGCTGAAATTAAAGTCCCCTACTGTTATGGGGCTAATCCCCTGGTTAGCATGTGCCTTTAGCAGCTTTAAGAGGATCCCTCTGTAGAATAAGATTTTCATTAGTCCAATATGACAGCTTGATGTAGGAGTCCCTTGTGAAACCTCTGAGTCTGGGAAAATGAATCATATTCTCAAGCCTCACTTTGAAACAGCCCCAAGATTTTCCGCCTGGTGTTTACAGTAAACTGAGTGGACTGAGTGGGCAAAAAAGCGCAGTGGCAAGATACGCCAGGTATTCATTCCTAAGGAGTGATTGGAAAGGCATATTCCCATAGGTGCCATATAAGGTTGCATTTCTGAGGCTTTTAGCGGAGACGGATTAGGCTTGGACGGCCGGCAGGTTGTGTCTCTGTAAGTGCTAATGGCCAACAGTGCAGTATCACTGACATGCTGCGGATGTCTTCAATACTCCACCCCTGTTCATTGACACAGTGAGGGCCACCAGGGGAGACAGGGCCAGAGACCGTGTTGGAGCATGCAGCAGTTTTATGCAAAGGCCACAGATCAGATATTATTATGTTTGCTCCTCGCCGAGAGCATGGCAGTACCAGTCAGGTGATCTGACGCTAGATGAGACAGGAAGGGAGGGGCACACAGCTGTTGCTGCTGACACTTACATGCTGGGGCTTTGAGAGGTGTGTGTAGTGTAAAGGGAGATGTGTGCTGCAGGGTATCAGGTTGTTGTTACACAGATTGTAAATGTACTGCAGGATTAGTGGCCGTCCTACTGGGTGTGCAGGGGCCACAAAAAAGCTGATGTGAGTCTGTGTGTGTGTCTGCATAATAGTGGGGTGTGTGGGAGTCTTGTGGCATCATCAGCCATATACTCATCTTTTTCTCTCTCTAATTATAGTCTGGTCAGATGAGAAACCAAAGCTCTTGTTTTATCCCCGAGTCTTTTCCTTCTCTCTAGCACCAGCTGAGCACTTTGGCTTCAGGCAGACATAGTATGGCCTCCCTTACAGAGGTGCTGGCTGATATTGTGACTACCAGGGGTCAACAGGCTCCACAGTGTCATGTCATCAGCCAGAAGCACTGTATGATACCCTTCCTTGGTCACCTATGTCTGTGCTAAGTCTTTCAAGTGTTGCTGGCTGTCACTCAAACCTGACCACAGGAGTAACAGCCAATATTAGTCGAGATCACAGGAGAGTTTCAAACTAATGTGAGAGGCTGATAGGAAAAGGTTTGTGAAAGTAACAATGACTAATAGAAACAAATCAATAGCAACAATAATACTTAAGCTAATGACATGTCAAAACAAGTTTTACAACCTTTTTGACAGTACCTGAGTCACGTCATGTGCCATTTTTGACCCCTCAGTGTTGTAACACTTCTGTTTTAACAGATCTGCCCATGATACGCCATAAAGGGAAATGACACCTTAGTGCCCCTCCTTAGCGATGGGTGCTCAAACAACATGCATCCTCTTCTGGTTCGTCCATTTGTTATTCTTGTCTTAGATGCATATTATTTGCTACCCTTTATTTACTGATCAGATCAGCAGAATAGGGTCAAATGTGGCCAAACATATGCAGCAAAGAGACAGTATATGTATTGTAGGTGTTTATTACAAAATACGAGAAAATACACAGTGAAAGAAGCAACAGCGCCAAAACAAGAACCAGATGTTTGCCAGATGGAGACTATAAGGTGGTGTTTGAGTGGCAGAAATGAAATATTGATAAGACAGAGCCATAAACAAACAGCCTGACCCAAGATGCGGTCAAACAGATGACTTTTCAATTGTCTTCTGGTTTCTTCTTTAAAGGAGGCTGACCAGAGACTTTCTGTGGAGGTCTACTATTTCCACACAGAGACTCTGGGACCATCTGCTATCCCCCCACCCCTGCCCCCACCGGCCGTGGGCTGGACCCAAGCGTGAGAAACCTTCATTCACTTATCAAGCTATAAACCTTCAGCAGCATTTGCAATCTTCACCATCAGGGTTTCTACATTTTCATTACCAACAAGATTTATTCATCTGCTTTTCCTAAATGGCTTTGTTGTTATAGGCTATTTAATGAGTCATTAAGCCTTCGCTGGGTTGATCGAGCCAATTTCAACAGTTGTGTTTTCTTTTTGGACATG